AGGTAAGAACATTTGATGATGATTTAAGTTAAAAATAATTTAAAAAACGCCCGCTTTATTTAATTTCAAGTGAATAATATGCACTTATCTTATTTTCAGGAGTAAAATCCTCATTCCAATGACAGATCATCGTACTTATCTGCTCAAATACACAGATTTTAACACATTTTTAGATTTTTTTTTGCAGTGCAGAGCCAGAACACGCCAAACACTAGACAACAATCATGGCAGGAAAACAGACAGTCCAAATATGCCTGGAATGAAAGTGGGTCAAGATGTACCGTCAGCGTTGTCTGTGGAAAAGAACAGAAACACACAGCGGGGTAGGCAGGAGTTTAAATAAAGTGTTCCTTCCTTCACCTCTCCTCCTCCATTGTGCTTGTTTACACTGCCCCATGGATGTGCCGGCCATTCCTCACTTCATCCCGCTTAGAAAAAAAGCAAAGCGACGCACGGCGCGGGTCAGGAGTTCAGGCTCTAGATCAGCGCTGGCATTGTGTGCTGCAGGTGCTGTCAGCTGCTGCAGGGACAGCCGGCGATGGGAAACACACACGGGCAGAGGGGAGCGTCTCTGCTGCCGCTCCGAGGAGCCACTACAGCTGCTGACACCCCCCAAAAAAAAACAACAACTGAGAGCTGTCTCAGCTTGCTTTGCACACCACATCTGCAGAGAACTACATAGCAGGATTTCACCACACGCCGATCATCACAACGATGAGAAATAAAGAGATAAATCATGATCTGATGCTTTTCTTTAAATGACAGAGCAGAAGTTATTCCTACACTGCAAATAAATGATCAGAAAATAAGTCAATGTTTCAAAAACTAAGTGTCTTGGCTTGAATTTGAACAGTTAAATAAGAGGATCGATCAATGGAAGAAAAATATTTTTTACTATTTTTAAAGGCTGCACTTTAAAAAAAAGATGAAATTGTCCAGAGAGCCGTTTCCAAACGAAATGTCTTTTTGTTTTACACTTAAAAACAAAATGACAAATAAAATCTAAGTCTATATCGTTTACATCAGGATCGTCAACGTTGCAATTTTACTTTTATCAATAAGTTTATTTATTTTACCCATTTCAGACATGTTTATCTACAGCTGTCTAAGTCTTAAAATAAAATAATTAGATATTATCATTTTGAAATTAAAGAAAAGGGTTCTTGATTTTGTTATTCTAAATGTAAATCATCTAATTTTAGTGATAAATTGTCTTATTTACGTGGTTAAATGAGGGAAAAACACTTTTAAAGAAAAAAGACCTAGATTTAAATATCTGCAGTGAAATAAAGTCATATTTAACTGTTAAACTAATGTTATTTAACTAATGTTTAACTAGTAAACTCCCCAAAAAAATCTAAAAATGAATTAAACAAATGTATATAAAAGTGCATTTGCCCTTAAATTGATGGTAAATAATATGATCAATGTCAATAGAATCAGTATTATTGCCTTTAAAATAGGAGAATGAAAATATTTTCTTTTTCTAAATGTAAATGATCTTATAATATTAGTAAATTATCTTCTAAAGTGTTTTAAACGAGGGAATATACATGTTTTTTAAGAAAAAAACTTATATTTAAATTTTTGTAGTGTACAGTTGATGACATAAATGCTTTTTTAACTTTTACCAGTAAACTGCAAAACAATAAGAAGACCTAAGAAGATGTAAACATCTCTTAAAATCTCAAATTAATTCTCCCTTCATTTGAGCAGAAAAGTTAAAGAGTATTTTGGCGCCTAAAATAAGATTTTTACATAAACTGAACCTGGAGTTAAACTAATGAAGATGCTTTTTAACTAATTTTCAGTATGAAAATCTTATTTTATCACAAATTAATTTACTTACCAACTCAAATTAAGTGTAATGTAACACTTTTTGCAGTGTGTTCAAGTTCTATTAATAGGATTAGTGAGTTTTTTTAATCTGTAGCTGAAGCAAAAGTGTTTCACAGAAGTTTTAAACTCTTAGTTTGTTTGCATGTCTCTGAAACGCCTCAAGAGAAACCAGCTGATATTAAAGTTTAATCTCTACAGGAAACTGGAGAACATTTCTGTGGTAAAAATTGTTTAATAACTGTTTGCACACTGCTGTTAATGACAGGAATTAATTCCAAACTGCTGGATTTCACTGTAAGGTATAGCAGCCTTCTTTCAGCCAGCTGACAGGCAGAGCGCAGCTAACAGGTGGCTCAGTCTATGTTTTAATCCGATGGAGAAAACCTCAGTGACTGAAAGGGAGAACATAGAACCCTTACACTTAGATTTAGACAACTTTTACTGTCATTTTGTATACACAAAATTACGTTTTGTACAGCTTTCATGACATTTCCAATTCTTTAAGTGTGAAAACATGTTGCAAAAAAGGGCATTGATATGGTCATTCAGAGCCTTAAAGATATATATATATATATATATTTTCCAGTAGCCAATTTGTCATCAAGTTGCCCTGGTTCCCTAGCAACTGACGCAGACCTCGTTAGCCCGGGCGACGTCTGAGCCGGTATGGCTCTTGTATTTGCGGTTTCACTCATGCCTGAGGTAGGCCAGTAAGCACTAAGGACCTTGCCTAAGGGTCTACCTGGATGTCCATGCCGGGAATCGAACTCACGATCACCTGTACCGGAGTCGTCTAGAAGAGCGCAGTCCTAGGAACAGCTAAGATACTGCACAGAACCCTCAAACTCCCAGGCTTCGGGTAGAGGACCCCAGCTTGAGGATGACACATACCACCCCACGATGGGGTGAGAAAACAGTTTTTTTGTTTGTTTTATATATATAATATATATATATATATATATATATATATATATATATATATATATATATATATATATATATATATATTATATATATATGGTGCAATTATTCAGTGTTTTCTATAATTTATGTGATGCGGAAAACGCTGAAACAGAATGGAATCTACAATGAAATCTCTTAGGATTTCCTCGTACAGGCAGGACGTAGCAATCTGGGGGTATTTTGTCCTCTGCCGACTCCTGTATCTGCTGTTTCCTGGTAACCAGGTCAACCATGGAGATGAGATGAGCAGAAACTGAAGTTCTCCAAAAAATCTGAAACTGGTTCTAAAGTTGAGGGCAGAACAAAACTCCATTTATTTATATTAATCTGGAGAAGAAATGTTCTGCTAGCTTTGATCAGCAAACGATCGACTGGAAGCGTTGGAATCCATGGACGGCCACTAACGGTCAGAGTCGCAGCAGAAACAGGCAGAAGCTGCTGCTACTGGAAACACGCCTGCAAACTCATCAATGTTAAACTACATCAGCGCAAGCAGTTAGTTTATCTATAAATTACATGATTTGGAGCTTTTAGAAAACAAGTAAATGTTGCTTTGAATGTCTGATAATTAGAAGATTTAAAAATAAGACTGGATCCTGTTTAATAGGAAGGTTGGAGTTTATAGGTTTGTTTCTATAAGAGACTTTTATTGTTAACTTTGACAGAAGGACATTTGTTTAATGCGAGATTATGACTTTGACACAAATAATGTTTGTGTTTTATATAAAAGGATGACTCTGCTTTTAAATCCTTTAGAAAAGCATCTTCTGCAGAACATTATCTGTTATTTTCAGTCATTTTATAATCGCAGGCTTTTCAGGATTTGGTTAGAATGAAAATATGAAATTTAGGAAATAAAAAACTAAATAGAAAAACTGGAATAAGGATAAAAATAAGAAAAGAAAAGAAAGTCAATGTAGCAAGAAATGCCTGAATCCTATAGAAAAGAAAATTATGTCAAATTTAAGATTTGTAATATTTGCCACGTTGTCCAAACCGGAGCAGATTTTGATCCTTTCTGTCAGCAGAGGAACATATTAATTCTGCTCCTTTGTCGTTTGGGGAAGCGTTTGTTTAAAACAAAGACTTCTTTCCTCAATAAATTGGACCTTAAATTCACCCAATTCTACTAAAAATGGGACGAATATCGAGCAAATAGTGGGAAGAAAAAATTAGATCTAAGGTTCTGAATCAGGAAGCGTAAACAAACAAAAATAAACCAAAGGACTCAGTGCAGACTGATTAGTCCCCTGCGTAACGACGGGCCCCTGATGTCCTGCAGGGGCCCTGATTAGCAGCACCCTGTGTTAACAGTTTGAGACGGGAGGCGGAGGTCCGAGCCGCCGCGCTGCAGAGCCGAACTTTGGATGAACTCCCATGAGCTACAGGGAGTGAAACATCACCCATATCTGTGTCACCCCCCCCCCCCCCCCTTCAAAAAAACACAACAGAGCGAACAGAGACCCCCTCCCACCTCCTCCCCTGTTGCTCTCTCTCCTGAGGCTGCGGCCGAGTCAAGATAAACTGCCAGGCTGGGTGGGAAGGGGAGGGCAGGGTGGAGTTGGTTAGGCATTAAAATAAGCTCAGTGCCGGATGACGCAGGGATACCCGCCATAAGAGCCGCCGCCGTCCCCGGAAAAGGTCAAGCATGTGCGAGCGTAACGACGGAAACCTCCTTTATTCTCATCCTCCACCCGTTCTGTTTGATTTCACGCACTAATGAGTGTGAAACACGGGCGAGAGCGCGGCTCGCCGAGCAAACCGGGCACACTTAAGCACCTCCACGTCTCATCGCCGAGGGTTTATTTCCTCGAAGAATAAAGACTCCATCAACCTGAGCAACCTCTATTTCCACAAAAAATGTCACATCTCTGTGTGTGTGTGGATTCAGGGAGCGGAAAAGGCTCCAGAAACACGATTTACACCTTATATGTTGCATCTCTCCAAACAATTATTCTGCTGACACAACCGCTTTAATAGAGAGACGCAAAACCTAATAGAGACAGACGTATTCAGCAGGCTTGACAGTTAACTCACAAGGGGAAGACGGCGGCGCGTTTGTGACAATCCGGCTTCCATATTAAGGAACTGCTTTTATTAGGGAACGTTGGAGGCTTCTGGTGGGAAGCTAGAAACACACACAGCTATCAGCTTCCTGGGCGCCGGTGAGAGCTCAGCCTGAAACCGAACGGACCTACCTGTCTTCTCTTTGATTTCACACAGGACGTTGAAAAGGGCCGGCTTCATTCGGTGACAGTTGAGAGCGTGTTTCCTGAAACAGAGAAGTGGCTTCATGAGTGAACCGAAGGGGGGAAAGCAGGAATATAAAAGCCTGGCTGTGGAGCAGAGCTCAGGATTCATGTTTGTCTAATTAATACAAACTATATATCAATGCTTCACTTCTGAGGGAAAACCTTCTGCAAACACCTCCGACACTTTCTACGTTCTAAAACCGGTTTGTCAAACGTCGAACCCCGTCTAACGTCTTAGTAATAACCGCTTTATTAACTCAGACATGAATGACATGTTAGCTAAAGCTGGTTCCAGTTTGTCCCTGTGCTCTGCGGTTTGACTAAAAACTGTGTGGGGGAATAAAATCAAGAATAATCAGCTTTTTAATCTTTTTTTTTCTACAAAAAAATTTTAAATACACTATAAGAAAATTAAAGATCAATAGCTGTATAAATACTAATGTATGGAATAGCCAGAAAGAATATATATATATATATATATATATATATATATATATATATATAGGAAAAAACATGACAATTATCTAAGTTATACCTTTGAAAGTTTTGTTCAGTTTAGAAACATTAATGCATGTTATAACAACCAACAGAACGATCAATGAATGCTTTTTGAAATACTTCAATTTTAGAGTGACAGGTGTCTGAGTATCAAACAGTCACTAAATCTATTTTTTATATGATTTATAAGAAATAAGTTCCAATAGTATCTTAACAAATGTAACTACCAGCCTGTCACCATTTAACCCTGCCTGTGGAATAACGAATGTTGCAACTTTAAAACATATTTAGGTAAAACAATATTTATTTACTTACTTTTCTTTCATCTAATTTATTCTATCTTTTTTTGTTTGTTTTTTTTTGCACTTGAGGTGCTTGCTTTCCAAATACCGTAACTCCTCCAGCTTTACTCACTTTTAAAGGGAATAATATGGATGAAATGTTCAAAATCACTTTGATTTATATTAATATTTCTATATATAGACTACATTTTTATATGTGGTTATATTTCAGAAATTTAAAGTTAAAATATTTCCTAAATGAAGCCACTTTTCATGTGTCGCCACAGAAATTCACTAAAACTTGAATTTTAACTAATTGGTTTTCTTGGCGCGACCGGGATTCGAACCCATTTCCTCCGAATTTAAAACTAAAATTTAATTCACTGAGCCAAACACTGACTTCACACCAATAAATGCCGAAAATACAATAGTTATTTTAGACATCTATTTCTCCTTTAGGTATTATTTTGTGAATGAGCTCATCTTAATAATTTCTTAATATTTTTTTTGTTTTTAATACGTTGTTCAAATTTTTATATTTTATATATATATATAAATGTGTTTGGCTGTCTTTTAAATACGAGTTTTCCCGATAATTAAAGAATTGTTGCTCTCTTGTGAGCTCACCTGGCCTGGGCTTCGTCCAGACTTTGGTCCGTGATGGTCATGATTTGCTGTAAAATGTCTCCAATGTCCTGCTTCCTCCCGTCGCCGTCAGCTCCTCCGGTGCCTTCCTGCAAATGCTGCGGCAGACCGGGGTGCCCCGCCATGCCTACCCCCGTGTGAGAGTGCATCAACCTGGGCTGCTCGTCCATGTCTTCGGCCACCCTTTATTTATTGGGATTAATTTAAATCGGAAGCTCCCAGGCTAATTATTTCCTGCAAAAAAATATATAAAGTAAAAAGAAGAGGAGGAGAGAAAGATGCTGGGGAATAAATCCCGGTATTTGCTGTGGTTCTTCTCTTCGTTTGAGCGTTTTAGAGACGCTCCGCCAACATGGGGAAAAAATGAGCAAAGGAGGCGATAGAGAGCGGAGCCTCAGAGCTGCTGCTGCTCTCAGCTCAGCTGGTGAAATCTGATCACAGAGACACACAGCTGCTGTCAGATACTCCCCTGCATCCAAACCTCGCTCCGGCTTCCAACACAAGCGCCCAGGAAAAAAAAAAAAAAAGTGGCCGTGAGAAATAAAACAGCAGGGATTCTTTTTTTTTTTCTTTACTTCACTCGCTCCATCCTCTCGCTTTTTGTCATGTTAGGTTCAGCCTGAGCAGGCGGAGACGTCGGGAAGAGAGAGCGCGCGAGACTCGGGCTCCGCCCACGCGGCGTGATTGGGACACGCGCTGGATTTGGCCCCACCTTGAAAAGCACCGAGATCATCGGAATGTAGGATACAGAAAAGACGCGCTGGTCGTTGGCCGCAGCCTGCAGATCAGAGGCGTAGCCAGAAAAAATAGAGACCCAGGGTCAATCTACGCTTCCAGCAGGAACAAGCAAAACATCCATACTTTCTAAATGAAAACAAACTATATTTCCTAACAGCCTTTGCTCACAAATTGATGCATATATTTAAACACCCATGTATCTAGATAAAAGGTATACCCAGTGGGCAAAAGATGTCAATTAAACATCAATTTGACATCAAACACCGATATCAAATTGTTATCAAAATTTGGTCAAAAAACATAAATCAAATTGACATCAGTCCTTTGACATCAATTTGATGTATGTCAAATACTGATTTTATTTATTGTGGAAAAAATGTCGTGAAGATGGTCCAGCTAGAAGA